ACGCTCAGACATAAGACACCGAAAAACCGCCGTCAGTCCCAATAAAAACTTTATAGACTGCCGTCAGATCCACTTGATTCTCGACAAAAGACATCAGCACATTTATGTAACAGATCGCACCTAAAACATGAACAGCAATGGGTAAACATTCAAAGCTGCTTATTAACTAAGTCGAATAAATCATAAAATGTAACAAGACATCTCGACTTTACATCTAAGTTAGAATGTTGCTACTTGCAAGCTAACAAGATCATAGCTCATATATAAGATACTAGTCAAATCTACCCAGCCTTTTTAATATCTCAACACACTACCCGCTAACTGAGCATCAAATAAATAATTTAACAGTGTAATTATGCTAACTACAACACTCTTTCGTGACCGCGTTCGATCAACAGGTTCAATTCTGGTTGTAATCGCTTTAGTGCAATTTTACGTTAGGCACACTAAACTTGAATCATTAATATAAACTAATATTAATTCTTAATGATTGTCTCTATTAAAATAGCGAAGGATCATTATGGTTATTGGCAGGTCAAAGCTCCTGTTTGGCAATACAACTCAAACTGAATTGCAATCATTCACAAACGCTCTTTCGGGAATACATGTTTCGATTTCGGTCCAATTATTAAAGAACGAAATCGCTCCATTAGCAAAAGTATGCAATAGACGATAGATGGTCTAGAATTCGTCATCTTTGGCACTTTTTGAGATCATCACTTTTATGTGTGTCAAAATCAGAACCACACTCGTTTGGGACGAAATCATTTTTGACATAGATTAATGTTTCCGAAAGAGAAGAATATGTTTTTCTCAGAAAATAAATTTGCCTACACTTACTGTCCTTGTTTCTTGCCCGCCTAATGGTAGACATCTGCAATATTTCTTCTCGCACGAGATATACACATGGGCTGTAGGAAATTGTTTATCCTTGATTTAGTGAATGATATGCGGACTTCAGGCCGAGGGAGCTTGCACACAAGGTGACAGAAATCGTTGGCATTGCTGAATGTCTTACGAAGAGGGAAAAGTTAGTCAGTTAAATACCCTTTCGAAAATCTGCGTGTCTTCGACAGAGATTCCGGAAATGTGCTTATCTCACAGTTTCCAAGATAATTTAGTAGAACAGTTTCCCGAGAGTTGACAGTTGGGTAATGCTACTATATTTCGAAGATTAGGTGGAATATCTTCTGTAGACAAAAAGCGATTATTCCACACATCCATTCTCCAAGGAAGAATTGTGATATTGAAGTTTGACGAAATCTGACATACAGAGTTGTAACAATACTTCTTCTGTATTATGTTTTGTAGGCGAGTCTGCCCTGAAATTTAATGTTTATAGGAACTGTAGGGAAAAATATCTCGAGGAAAGCGATTGAACTGCTGCTGGAAATGCTCAGACGATCTTAAAGCGCTCATTCATACCTATCAATGTGTCAATGTCAGCGTTTGGATAACGGCGGCCTAAGGTCTTCGTCGGCAGAACAGTTGTCATTTTCTTTAAGAAACTATATGCTAGTCGTCATTACCGGCTGCTACATTGATATCTTGATTTTGCTTTTTAACAAAAGCTCCCTGTCCGACCTGTAGCTATTGTGTTTACACTGATGACGCAGAAGTGAGTGGATTGTAGAGTAGTTCCGAAATTACATCTTTTGAACCTAATTTCTCTGCAATCTAAGAACAAGAGTCTTTTCGCTAATTCATAACAGTTAGCCGTCTTTCTCTTGATGATGATAACGTTTTTCTGCTGAAGAAACGGCGCCATTTTCAAAAATTTATAACCTTCATCGACGCTGCCACCTTTTGAGTTGGCTTTGAGGAAGCACTAAAATAACTCTCTAACTCGTTTTTGTAGGCTAACTGCACTTCTTCATAGACAGCGCTTGTTTCAGCCTGTCATGGTTGAGAAACTTTGGTGTTTCAAATTACTGACGCGATATAACACGGCAAATTGTAGTCAAGCTCGGCTCAGCGTGGGGTGATTGGCTTACCAACACAGGAACACTGTCTGACGTTAATCTCAAGTACGGCGTTTTGAAAATGGTGATGAATAAAACCGTTGTTTCTGTTCAGTTTTAAGGCTTCCATCGAAAGTGTTGAGGCTGATAAATTTGTTTGTTAGAGAGTAGAGTCCCGAAAGCAATTAGACTCTCAGTTACAAGTCAAAAATGAATTCGAAGCGAAAATTAGTGTAATCTACTCATAGACAAAGCTGTTTGGGTGCTTTGTTGCTCCACAGTTGATCATTGTTCAGTGGTACCCTCAGGTGTCTATTGATAGGAGACAAGCCTGAAATGATTGTCATGTTGTGAATTTCTGCATATTTCATATACTCTAAAATCGGCTGACACGCGCTGTATGCTTCTTTTATATCATTATTATTATCTCCGATCTTCGAACTACCGGAATGCAGGACCCTAATATCTGCACTAGCAATAAGCTTGATTGTTGGATGAATCTTGTGCGCTCCATACACATTTCATTCTAATTCTTCCCTCCTTTTCATTTAATTAACTTGAATGTATTTATTTAATGCAATACTCAGATAATGCACTCAGATAATGTCAACCAAATCATTAACTATCTTACGCGTAATTCGGTTCGTGCAAAATTTACTTGTTTGCGCTTGTTATGGTCTTCATTTTGTTTCCCTGTAACTATGGGACCATCAGTGGATTCGGAGTTACTAAGGAATACAGTTTCTTCTTTGGATTTGATCTAAATGGAAAGCTTTATGAAATTATTCCATGATGTCACCTGAAAATTTGAAAGTTTTGTTGCTTAAAAGCAGTCACCATTATGCATTTTTATTTTTCATCTTCTATGACCGTTTATCCTTTCCGGCTGGGGAGGCAGATGAATCAGAGAGTGTTTTCCCGATCTTAAGCCAATGTCTGAGCTGCAGCAGAAGACTGGAGTCTGCAGCGCAATCCTTACATATATTTGCAACAAGTTAATCCCGGCCATCCCATAGGCCTTCTGCCGGTCGGATGGGCAAGAAACAAAGGAGGCATTTGCAACTCCTTTCTGGAGGCATTCACATGCATAAACCATTGCAGTTGTGACTTTTCAATCTGAAGAAGCAGCGCCTGTACACCAGGGCTTTTCGCGGGTATATGTTTCCAGGACAAAATCCATACGCGTAAAGCCAAGAACTTGTCTCAGAAACGAGATTTCAGTCGCTTGTCCCGGGATCGAAGTTTCGGTCATGGTCCACGCCTCATGACGGAAGGTAACTATGGGGATGAAGACCGACTTGAACACCAAGAGCTTAGTTGTCAGACTGAGCTCCGCTTTAGTCACAGCGGATAGGGTTAGTTCACACGGAACGCCACTGGCTACTCCAATTCGCCGGTCGATATTTTCCTCCAATTTTCCATCACTAGCAAATACGATTCCGAGGCACTTGAAGCACTTGAACTTTTCCACTTGCTCCACTGCCTCTTCGTTAATCTGAAGAGAGGAACGAGCAGAAGAACGATATAGCACTAGGCTTTTCGTTTTAAATGCGTTCACAGGCACCGGTTACCTGGCACCCGCTGCGAACCTTTGTCTTTGTAGTGGGTACTGCAGAATGTCAGTTTCAGAATGTCAATGAAACAAGGTAGTCTACGAACAGCATCCTTCTCGTCTCCGCATCCCTTACACCAGTGCATTCATCACCTTGTCTGCTCCTGACTATTCTATCCAGATACAACACAAACAGGAGAGAGGGATCAGGATGCAGCCTTGGCGCAGACAAGTTGCGACTTTGAAAGGCTTCGACTTAACGCCAATTACTCTGACGCAGCACCTGCTATCAGAATACAGTGATCGGATGGCCCGTAGCAACTGGCCATCTATCCCGAATGTAACTTTGACTGATTTAGGCAATATTCCAAACTGATTGTTCCTTTAGATTATTGTTCTACCAGTCATCATACGATTGCCTAACCGATCATTTTCCGTATGATAGGCATACCGATGCATGCTGCAAAGTTCGAAGAAAGTGCTCATAACAGACAGCCGCTGTTGCACGAAAGCGCAGCAAATTTATGCCGTTATTGTTGAGGTCACTAGGGCCATTCTTTCGAATTAAGCTTTTCCGCTTTTCAGTGACTGTTACGACATACGCATTGAAATCGCTCAATGGAATGATGGGCTCCGTAGTCAGCATTTCGTAGAGTCTTCCATCTTCTTAAGAACGGACTCATATTCTCCCTCCAAATTGAGCATATAGACAAGCAACATGGTCAAAGCTTTGACCTGTTGTAGCCTCAGTGAGAGAATTGTCACTCTTCCGCTGACACCGTTCCATTCAGTGATTTTGTTAGCCAGGTTGGGGTTGACTAGATCACCAATACCGGCTCTAGCGCACGTCGTGATATCGAGACTTGAGTAGAACAGCTTCGATGCGCAGAAGTTCAGTTTTCGAGAGCCTTGGCGCTTCGCTGACTATCGTCCAACACTGTTGAGTTGGTACCTTATGGCCTAATCAACTGACTCCAGTTTCCGACTCTAAGCTCCCATTGGCGGTGTATTTCTCGCGGAGCCTTTCCCGGCGTGCTACAATGGCATCGCGCTGTATGCCTCATTGGTTTAGAACGGGTAGTGACTCCGTTTGCTTATTGATATCTTCGTCGATCTTCGTTAGCCGTTCTGGTGTTGCTACGCCCCGAACTCGCAGAAGGCGATAAGCAGGTTCTATTCGCTGACTTTTCGCTGCCTGCCGCAGTCCCCCAACATCCTGTGCGAACGTTGGTAACCCGTTCGACGACTGAGCCGGCATAATCTTCGATGACGTTAAAAACACCAAGGGCAAGTGGCGAAGTTTTACGAAGACTTCGCCACAGTCTCCAACCTTCCTCCATTCTGAACCGGGCTCGGGACTGGCAATGGCGGAGTTTAGCGTTTTTGGCAACAATAAAAAACGAAATGAGATAGAAACATGAATATACAGAGGATGACTATATATCATTGAGCAATGTCAGGC